TACTATATTTATAGGGCACATAGACAGATGTTTACAGTTAGACTATAGGAATTAGAGACAAGAAAAGACATAAGTTTAGGAAGATTTCTTGTAGTTTCCTTTTAAGTACCCATTAGCTCTACCTAGGCTTGCCAGACCAAAAGCCTGTGTAACCGGTACCATGTTCTCTGAGGCTGCCTTCTTCATGAAGGCGAACTTCACTGAGAGCGGCAATGTCGATGTTGAGACGAGCCAGCTCATGGGCAATTAGGGCAGACCGACACTCAGGGCGTCCGCCGTCTGCAGAATCGAGCATGGTTCTGATGTTCCAACATGCTAGAGTTAATTTAGGTACACCTTTGGAGGCAGGTGCGTGCCTTTGTCTTTTGATCTTTGTGCAACCGCATTGGAGGAAGATGCCCGTTGACCTGCGGTTAACCAACGGGGTGAAAGTGGAGATGAGCTTTGCTTAGGTCACCTTTTCTAGGCCCCTCTCCGAGTGGAGCAAGCAGTGCTGTCCTTGGAAAGGCTGCTTGGTCGTTCAGGGTGCTTCCCCAAGAGACTGTCATCTCCGGTCAGTCTCAAATGACCAATATCCTGAACCGCCTGCATGCAGGGTTGGGTCTGCGGCTGCCAGTGCACATTTCACCTGCCGTTTCGACCCTCGCCCGACGCTACAGGACTTTTTGCATATGGGTAAGGCCTTCAAGCCTGCGCAATGGATTTTTTAGGTGAGACACAGTGTGCGTGGAACTGAACCCACCCTTTAATCCTGAGGTTCAACTGCCAGGGCCGAGCGAGCTTGGATGTTTGCAGTGAGGTCCTCAGGACGTAGGTTTGATTAGAGTGACCTTCTCTTAGATGGATGGCCTTACAGCGCTAAGCGAACTCCATCTGCCCGGGTTTGGGATTGGAGTTGTCCCTCTCCTAGGATGACTGCCAGGAGGCTAATTATCTCATCCTGCCCAAGAATGTATTAAATCTGGTCCTACGGTTTTGATCTGACTGGCACATGCCGTACCTGGGCAGTAGCCAGAGGAGAACCAAAAACATGTAGACAAAACAAACAAAGCAATCATTCTGACCCCAGTACCCAACCAGTCAGGGGTGCCTTTCATGTCCCCAGCCTGGCGGGGACCCCCATTATTCTGAAAGAACCCACTATCCACCCTGACCTTATCCTTCCCCCACTGTGTTACCACTAAAAAACACCTCTCAGGAGTCGGCTTCATTATCAAAAACTCCATTATTCCTTAACTCGAAAATCTGCCGACAGATCACTCTGACCGCATTGTCTCCCTACGCCTTCCACTAAACAACAAGCAACACGTTGTCCTCTTTAGTATATATGCCCCAACTCTCCAAGCTGACCCTCTTGGAAAAGATAAATTTCACACTGACTTGCGCCTCCTTACCCAAAAGGTTCCTGCAGACGATAAGATCATTATCCTTGGTGATTTCA